TAACAAAGGTTTTCTTGTTAATTTTAAGTAAAATTATTCCAAGTTGGGATTACTTAAAAAGTATGATGCAAAAATGGTGCATATATATTTTAAGTAAATCCAACACATCATTTTTTAGAGTGTACACGGTTTGGAGCACAGTCTCTTCTGTCTCGCATGCGCGCTCTTGCTTGCGTGCTCAAATCCCGGGAGTTTGAACTAATTTGCGAGCCGCTATCAATATGCGGGTGACTTCCAGAACTTCCGGGAGACTTGGGATGTCTGTATTTTGCGTCTCGAGCATCAGGTTGCGCAATCAGTTCGCTCGCAACATAAGTGATGGATTAAAATAGTGCTACCGCAGAAATATTAAATTAAAACGGTCTTTACAAAGCGAAGCACTAAATATAAAGGCAGTTAATAACAGCAGCAGTAAATTATTGTTTTTTAGTCACTGTACTCAGTGGTTTTCAGCGAATGTTTGTGCACTAATGCATCATTTTTCCTGTCTTTTTAATCAAGCCTGCTTGCTGCGTACCTCCACTCCGCTCTCTTTATATAGCATTTGTCTACTACATTTGTTTTAATTGTTTTTCAAACGCGATCTACTGCGGCTCTATGTTCACACGCTTGTTTTCAGTCTTTCTATATTTATTTTTACAAATTATCCTTATAATTCAATTAATTTTAAATAAAAATTAAATGAATTATATATTTGAGATGTTTTTAGTTTATATCTTCACATCTGAACAACATGTCTGTACATTTGTTTTAACAAAAATTGTGTTAAAACAATATGTTGGATATAAATGTTTTTTTTTTTTACATTAATCATGGTTGTCAACTTGCCATCAGCAATTATCATTAAAAACAATGCAAATATTGATATTTGTAAAACTCAATGTATGGCTTTTGCACTTTTTAAAGTACACTTTTACACATAAATATGCTAATTTAGGGTTTTAGGTAACACTTTATTTTACGGTGTCCTTGTTACATATGTTACATGTACTTACTGTAGTAATAACAGTAAATTATGCATAATTACATGCAACTAACCCTCAACCTAATCCTACCCTATTCCTATAGTAAGTACATGTAGTTACTTAATATTACTCTGTACTTAAATATATAATTACACTGTAACAAGGACACCTTAAAATAAAGTGTAACCGGGTTTTATTTAGTCATAATAAACAAATCCAATTGAATATTTTATCCGATTAATCGAAAAAATAATCGTCCGATTAATCGATTATCAAAATAATCGTTAGTTGCAGCCCTAAGTCAATTCCATTGTTTTTTTGAGAAAATAATGGGTTGTCTTAGCAGTAACTTCCAAAAGCCCATGAGAAACCAAGGTAAAACATCGTAACACCAGTTACTGCTTTGTTTTGGAACGCTCATATTGAGTTACGGTACTCTGCCTTAGTTTAGTCGTGCGTTAATATGAAGTTACTATGCCGGTGTTCTATCAAATAATGCTATCAGATTGTATGGTGTTCTGCCTTTGTTTAACTCTCCATTAAAATTGAAATTACAGTGTAGCCTGTTTACTTTGTAAAGCTGCCATCAGTCCCTGTAACTTCTGATGTTCTCAGAGCTTTGTCCTGCACAAACGCGGTCAGAACATTTAGTATGGTCTGAACCCGCTCCATCGACAAACATGCGATATCGATCGAGAAGTATATGCAGAGTTGACAGAAAAATGTTACACATGCCGTAGCAGGTGAATACTACAAATAACTAAAGCCCCGTCTCACCCACACTCATGCATCTAGCTGGCAAAGTGCCAAAACTTCGACGGCGCCTTCAGCATCGCCCTGAACGCGGTCGAGCTGACGCGGGACTAATATATCACAGTGAGTGATAATAATGAAGCAACAAGGGTATATTGGTGCATACAACATAATGAAGCAACAAGTGTACTGGTGCATACAACATCAGACCAACTGTTACAAGCGGGTTATACCGTCAATCACACAATAAATCCGCGGGACGAGCGAAGTGCTCCATGAGCGAAGTGCACAAGCACAATAATAGGGCAGACAGCTGAAACCTCCGCATACTGAAAAGACGCAGAACACGGAAGGTTGTGCTATAAATGCATTAGTCGTCTAGGTAGTCGAGAACTCACTGAGTCTCAAGGGGGGGGGGGGGGGGGACTACGAGGAGCACGACACCTTCGAACACGAATCTCAGGAAGCACCTGTGAGGGGCTATCTGAATGTAGAAGTATATGCGTCTTTCAGATCCACCGCTATCCAACGCGCTTAGCAAGTCTTATGCCACTCGGTACCAATTGATGATACTCTTTACTAAGGGTGTCACGATTTCGATCTTAAATCGAAATCGATCGAAATAAAAAAAAATTCTAATCGATCGAATTAAAAAATGGAATCGTCGATGCTGCCACGCCCCCATGTCACGTCCGGTCAGCGTGCCAAGCGGGAAAAAAACACGCGTGTTGAAAAGCTGCGAGTCTATGGTCAACCTCCTCTAACTTAGCTACAGCCATTCAAAAGATAGCATGGCAACTGCAGATGCAGGAGACCCATCGACAGAACTTGAACCCCCTCCTCTTTCATTGAAGTTTCAGGTGTGTAAGTTTTTTGGATTTCCAGTGAGTTATGTTGACAACGTTTGCGCTTCAAAAAAGCCACAGTTTACTTTGCAGACATCCCAAGTCTCGCGGAAGTTCCTGGAGTCTCCCGCATATTGATAGCGGCTCCCTGATGCCCGCAAATTAGTTAATCTCCCGGAATCTAGAGTGAGCGAGCGAGCAAGAGCGCGCAATCGCGCATGCAAGACAGAAAAAACTGTGCTCCAAACCGTATAGCGCGCGCACGGGAGAGAGCGAGAGATCTTGTGTATGTGCCTCATGAAGCGCATGTAAGACAGAGAGCATCCTGATTGGCCGGTTTCGGCTTTAAAAAAATAAATGTAAAAATCAAGAATCGAATCGAACCGTGACCTTAGAATCGAAAATTTAATCGAATCGAGGATTTGGAGAATCGTGACACCCCTACTCTTTACTGCTATGGAGGTATTTTGTCATCTAATGTATTAATAATGCCATCAGAATGCAACCAAAGCACAGGATAACAATAAGTAGATGGCTATTAGTAATTGTAATCATACAAAATAAATGCCATGATCACTAGATTTTATACTGGTGTTACTATAATGATTTTGTTAATGGTGATCAGCAAACCAAATATTGATAATGTGGAAGTTAACGCCTTTTGCCTTGGCATGACTTCTCACTTTTTGCTGACAATACAAAGGCAGAGTACAGTAACTTTAAAATAGTGGTCAAAAGTCAAGTTTGAGCTCAAGATTTATTTTATGTAGATCATTTTCATTACTAAAACATCTAATTGCCAGATTTCCAGTGTCCTACCTATAATAAATTTGGCGGGACAACTAAAAATCTTTAAAGTCATTTTTCTCAGTTCCACACTCTAGCGAGTTAAGGTCTTTTGCCTTTGTAGGGCAGAGCTGATGTCTCATTTGATGACTGTAATAACGTTATATTCACATTGTTTTTGTCATTATTTTCTCGTAGAATTACTTTGGAAACATGTGACTTTATTTATTTTAGTCGAATGTAGAATTTCTAGTAGAATTTGTAATAAAACCATAGTAGCCACAAATTTACCATTGTCTGACCACAGACTCCATGAAATGTAATATACATTCACTATAATAAAACCATGTTTAATTTGCATAATAGGTAAACACAGAGGTCACAATTTAATAGGAACATTTACTTGATTCTACTATTTTTCATACAAATACCATAAAAACTATATAGTTAACCTACATTTTACCATGGTTGTGAGGTGCTATGCAATATGCATGATTTTACCTATGATTATCATGATTTAAATGTACGATACTATGGATGACCAACCGTTCATTTTAATAAAAGTAGAGTCCTAGGCTAACTCAAACAGTCAGAAAGTTACATTTTACCCTTTAAACATGAGATTGTTAAAAAAAATTCAGATGTTACCATTTTTGTTGATGAACAGCCTAAATGTACTTCTGCGATTCGTGCCATCACAGTCAGGGAACACAAACCTATTTTATTATTTTAAACAATATCACCCATTTGAACATAAAGAAACTAAGTTTACTCGTCCATATTTTGACGTAGAAAATTATTTTATCATCATAAATGTTTTGAATATTGTACCTCAGATTTGTGAAACGTTCATCTGGTTGACAAGTGTTTGTCATGTTCTGACAACAAAAGAATAAAACCCACAATTAACTGTCTGCTTTATACAACTTTCACTCAGAAAAAAAAAAAAACATGTGAAAAAAAGATATGACATTTATTGTGATAATTATCTATATCGACTGATATGAAAAATGTTATGACAATTTTCTGGCCATATCACCCAGCCCTAAAAAAATAGATAGGCTATATCTATTTGACAATATAAAAGAAAATGTCTTTTGAGGCATTTTTTGTTTTTGTACCAAACTACATTGTCAATTCCACCATATAACCTTTTTTTTCTTTTCTGTTGCTTCTAAAAAGAAATAGGTTCAAGGAATATGGGTGCTGCTATTTTCTAAATTTTTTCATTCCAAACACTATAATTATCTTATACCAATATTCAATACATACGCTTACATATTTTTAAACCTCCCAATAATTTTAGCAGAGCCGTTGTCGCCTTGTAATTGTAACCAAAAAGCAAGTGCTAATTTCTTCGCAATTCAAATGGAATTTCATTGGCTTCTATTATGACAGCTATTGGGTTTTCATAACTCCTATACAGATTTTTAAAGCTCTATGTGGTATTCTGTCTAATTTCTCAATTGACTTGATAGCACTCAGCTCCATACAATACAACCATCTATAGCATCGAAGCTCCAACCAAACTTCGATAGATAGCCAAGCCAACAGAGCTTATTTCACCCCTATGCATATTTAGTTATACAACTCATTTTGTTAAATACCTAAGTGAAACCAACCCATTGTTTGTTTGATATTAATAAAGTACCTTTCATTGGCCGTCTCCTCCTGTTTACTGCTAGCAGAGGATGTAACTACTTCTTCTTCTGTTGTTTTATGGCGGATTGGCAAGCCAACGTAAAAGGTGCATTACCGCCACCTACTGATCTGGAGTGTGGAGTGCACATAATTTTGGAAGAATATGCAATGAATCAATGAGGGAAAATAGCAAATAATAATAAAATACATATAAATAAATAAATAAATAGGCTTTATATATATATATATATATATATATATATATATATATATATATACATAAAAAAACTAAACAACAACAACTAGATTCTATTCATTGTTCCTGTATCTTTTAGATATTTAAATAATATTTCATAGATACATGGATTAAATAATATTTCATATTTCATGAAAATTGCCTCGTTTCCTAACAATACTTTTATTGGATTCCCATCCAACTGCATTCTCTCCCTTACATATGCAGCACACTCAAAAATAATATGCCGCACAGTTTCCATAGACAGTAAAAGAAATGGACAGAGCGATCTCATTGGAACTCAGTTGAGACAGTTGAAGCCCACTTTTAGCGATTTTTGAGAACTTCCGTTCCTGACGCGCAGACTCAAACCGACTAAAACTAAGCTTGATGACGTGAGCAACCTGTCTGACAGACGTGAATCTTCTAGTAGCTGTGCGTGAAAATTGCCAACGTTAATCTTGCAGAGACGGGGAACTTGAGCAAAGAGTCCTTTATCGTGAGTGAGTAGGAGTAAGTATTCCGTTGCTTTTATGGACTCATTATCTATGGGCTTCTCCCTTGACGGGACGTCCCCCCGATTGCCTGCGAGCTTCTCCTCCTGTCTGTACGGTAATTTCTGTACAGCGCGACAGAGAGTCGAGTGGTTATGACGCAATCGTTAGCCTATTTTTACTAAAACTGTTTCTACGGGGCCATAATTCAACATAGAAGGTAATGGAGCCATTTATACATTGTCGTGTTTCTTTAGAAATAAATAATGGACAAATGGAGTCTTTAAACGCCTCAGATGTAAAGTTATTCGCTGTCAAAGTGACGCCAAAATGAATGGTAGTCAATGGAAATGCTAACGCAAGTGAAGTTCTGCTACAAGATGGCGGTACCCGGCCGGCTTCAACTTCCGGTCGATGGATTACCCCCTTGGATGTGACGTACGTTCTTCTTTTGAGATTTTATTGGTGGTTGACGAACAACGAAATGGAGTATTAGCGCCACCGACTGGTATGGAGTTATGGGCGATTTCGAAACATTCTTGTGTTTCGAATCAAGTTTTTTTATTTTTTTTTATTTTTTTATTAATATAGAGAATTCAAGTACAAACAATTAAGGCATAAATCAACGATCATACAGTTGTATTCGTGTTGATAGATCACTTAGAAAAAAGAACATAAGAAGAAAAAAGAAAAAAAAAAGAAAAGAAAGGGGGTGAGGGTCTTAGCCCAATAACATAAACAATTCCAAAACAGAAAGAAGTTTCAGGGCATTTCTGTCCGTCATCCAATGAAGAGATTTTACCAATAGCTTCAAGTCATTCTTCCATCCATAGAAATGGGGTTTGGTCTTTAAATATTTACATCTGTGGATGAAGTGTTTACCTAAAACAATCAGATTGTTTATCAAAAAATCGAAGATTTTATCATTCAAAAACACTCCAACTTTAATTGAGCTCACATTCAAAGGGAGATGTTTCGAATCAAGTGTATCAAACTGCCAAAGTCACGTGATTTCAGTTAACGAGGCATGGTTACGTCATAACTTTCGAAACGTTTCGAAATTTCAATGGTTCACTTAAACCAGTTAATCCGCTGTTGGACGATCTCTGTGAACCCATGAATCATGTGGATTCACTGAGATCGCCCCCCAGCAGCGAACGATTGAACAAGTGTCTAAGGGTTTTAAGTTCACCATAGAGGTTTTACACATAGGGTTTTACCTTGGTCGCTGATCAGTTTTATACATTTGTATACTTTTTAATTAGACATTAGTTTAAATAAAATGAATAATAGTAGTCGTTTATTGGCCTGTTTAGCTGAGCAATCCATGGAAAAAACAACAAGCTCTGAAAATGTATAAAAGAAGACATATTACACAGACTCGATTTAATCTTATTGGTTAGTTGATTGCATTTGATATATTTTACTTTCACATTGGCAGTGTGTTTGTAAAAGGTGTTTTCATGCATGTTTGCATGAGTCTTTGTTGCATTTCTGTTCCCCCAGCAGGGGTCACCAGTGTGTACGCTTCGAACCAGTGAATAATTTTACGAAGCAATTGGTTCAATTGATTCGAAGATTTAAAAAGCTTAGTTTCTCCAATCACTAAGATCAGAATGACATTTCTCCTCCCTTTTTATATCCTCTTCCGCCAATTAGTTATTTTAAGATACTGAAAAAGAAAACCATATCAGTTATTTTGTAATAGAATATTTTTTTCAGTCTCATATTTCTGACAAGCTATAGCATAATGTTTCTAAACATCCCAATGATTCATCTTGCCCACAAAATTCACAGTGTAGTCTTGTGTGTCCAAATCCTATCCTTGATATTATTATCTCATCGCTCCTGTTTTTTCCTGCACCTCTCATCTCTCACACTTTCCATTGAATTCTGTAAAACCATCTTGCCTTTCTTTTCCTTATCCCATTGTTTTTACCACCTTACCTTCAACCTTTTCTTAATAATACTCTTGATATCATTCTTACTTAGACTAACTGATAAATTGATGTTGTTTTTTTATGGCTTCTTTTGCTGCCTTATCTGCTATTTCATTTCCTTGGATACCAATCTGTGCCAGGACTCATAAAAATACTACTGTAAGGCCCAGCATTTGAATTCTGTATAATGTTTGAAAGAAAGAAAAAAGAGGAAAGAAAGAAAAAAGAGGAAAGAAAGTGACGTGACATGTGGCCAAGTATGGTGTCCCATACTCGGAATTTGTACTCTGCATTTCACTTTATGCGGCCCCTCACGAATGCAAATGAAGCCCATGATATGCCGTCCACATTTAAAAAAAAAAATTTGTTTTTGTTTTTAAATTAAATTAAAATTGATTAAACAAATATAAGGTTGAACTTGAACTAGGTTTGAAATAGGTACTGTTCAGTTGAAATTCAAAATATCGGAGAGGGTTGTTTCCCCTGCACCCTCCTCCTTAGACTCCATGCTCACACGGGTTTCCAGATGGAGGACAAGCAACAGGAGTGAGCGCAATTGACAATGGAAGGCGAGGAGATATATAGAGATTTTTACATGGATGCTGAGGCCTTTTAGGTCTGGTAGAATCTGCAATCTCTGCTCTAGTTTGTTTGCTGGTTTCCATGGCTGCAATACTTTGTTCCCTTTCAAGGCGGTAACTCAACATTACATCAGCTGTGACGTATATGGGAACTCCTCCCTTCTCCACTTTCGCTGAAATCTTATGGGCTAACGCCAGCTGGGGACAGCTGGCCAATTGACGCGAAGCATGCAAATACTGACAGGTTCGTGGGCAGTATAAATTGCATGGGCGCGACAATTACGTCAGAATCTTTCTTCACGCTAGAAGTCTTGTCTTAAAGGGTTAGTTCACCCAAAAATGAAAATTCTGTCAGTAATTACTCACCCTCATGTTGTTCCAACCCCGTAAGACTTTCGTTCATCTTCGGAACACAAATTAAGATATTTTTTATTAAATCTGAGAGCTGGATCACTCCTCCATAGGCTTCTTACATCACGCATCACACACATGACCAGCGTCGGCCAATAGTGAGCCTGCGTGTGACATGCAACCTAGAAGCTTTGCGCAATATCACTACGTGAAATATCACGGCCGTACAGAGAAGGAAATGATTAGTTGAATAAAGTCGTTATTTTTGTTTGTTTTTTGCGCACAAAAAGTATTCTCGTCGCTTGATAAACTTAAGGTTGAGCCACTGTAGTCACTCGGACTATTTTAACGATGTCTTTCATAACTTTTGGGCCGGCCAGTTTCGATCCCTTAAGAAGCCTATGGAGGAGTGATCCAGCTCTCAGATTTAATAAAAAATATCTTAATTTGTGTTCCGAAGATGAACGAAAGTCTTACGGGGTTGGAACAACATGAGGGTGAGTAATTACTGACAGAATTTTCATTTTTGGGTGAACTAACCCTTTAAGTCATCGTGGAAGTTGCGATATAGAGGACTACTCACCCCTGTTTTCCTCACCGTATCGGATGGCTGCTACATGCCAGATATGTGCGGGTTCCATTCAGTGTTCGAACTATACCGTGAGCTTCGGGGGGTACAGCTATTTCGACTGGTGACGTCACTCTCCATTTGGGGGTTCAATTTTTTTATTTCTCTGATATGTGTATTTCAAGACGTTTGAAGACGTTAAAAAAAATTGCTTTAAAACCATGTTACCGGGAAGTAGATTATCTGTCAACACCTGCTCTCTCCATCACCCTTTCTCTCAGTCTCCTCATCTTGCCCTGTCTCTTCCCCTCCTAAAGCTGAGATTTTTTAATTTACTGAAGGCTACAAAATTGTATTATATTAATTCTCAATATGTACAAATTCATTATTACTCTCGTGCCTAACATGATGAAAACGGCTTTGTGAATGTGTCTTGTCCCCTCACAATCACAGTAAACTAATTATTATGAGTCACAGTACATAGGCCTATTTTCAGTTCTACCAGAAAGACTCGGGAGAATAAATACTGTAACAATAAATACATTTATTGATAGCCCAGCAAGCAATAAAGTTATTTGGCGTAGGCCCCGTCCATAGCTCGCAATCCGAGGGTCCGGACTCTGCATTTCCTGCCTGAAGACGAAGGCAGGGGCGCAGCCGACCCCCTGTGAGGTATAGGAAGGGACCATCCTGGTGGTGGTGGGGAGGATGGAGGGGAAGGGACCATCCTGGTGGTGGTGGGGAGGATGGAGGTGAATGAAAGCGTCAGCATCTGCGAACTCAAACATGTGTAAGTACTGGTCTTTTATACCGCAAGTATTAGACACGATTGGATAGATGAGAAGGTATTAAGTGACGTAGCAATTGAGTCTTCCTGGCAGAACTTAACGCTAAAGCTTCCATTTCAAAATGGCGAAATTAGACAAAAAGTTTATT